AGGAGGTGGGGTGTGCGCGAAGGGGCGGGACGATGAGAAGGGCGGGGCGATGAGGAGAAGGGCGGGGCGATGAGGAGAAGGGCGAGGCTTGAGAGAGGGAGTGGAACCGGAACAGAGACGCAGAGGCGGGAGCCAGCGGGAAATCTACGCGGAGGATCTGAGACCGTAGCCCGGCGGGGATGAAAAACGGAGTTGTGAAGAGACAGAGCAGGGACCGAGACAGAGAGGCTAGGGACCCGACCTTGGGAATCTAAGAGGAGGATCCGAGATCCAGGCAGGGCGAGACAAAGCAGGGACAAAATGCAGATTCGCGAGGAGAGGGGGCCACGAAGCCATAGGGCCAACCTGGACAACCCAAGCAGGAGAGCACGGGTAGGGCTGCGGCTGAGCAGAGCTGGAGCAGGGGAATAGGGAAGCTCCGAAAGAGCATATCTCCCTTCCCTCCTGCGGAGCCGAGGCAGATCCCGCACCATGTAGTCCGTCCAAAGAGTAGAAAACTGTTATTGCCACTCCTCGGCTCAGCAAGATAAATGGAGGTGTCTTAAAGGACATCCTTCCTCCTAGGGCCTTGGTTGATTGTAAAAGCCACAAACCACATCTCTGCAAAACAAAATGAGAAATTTGTCCATCCACTTCATGCAACATATTTACTGAACACTACTATGTGCAAAATACAGTTGAGACACTGTGATAAGATGAAAGCAAACAGGCCAAAATCCCCAGTCTGGAAGAATTTCCATACTATGTATGTATTCCTAATCTATGTCTTCATTCTTCACTGTCTCTGCCACCCCGTCTCCGCGTTCCTAACTATAACCCCAACACCACAAAATACAGTCTTTAGCTGATTGATTTCAATTGCTTGTTGCTTCTCTTCTCAAAAAATAAGCTGAGGGGCTGGAAGGTGGCGTGGCAGTTAAAGGCGCTGGACCCCCACAAGGCCAACCATGGTTCAAGTCGTGGACTTGGTGGCTTCCTTTCTCTCTCTCTCTCTCTCTCTCTCTCTCTCTGGTCAAATTGGAAAATAATAATAAATAAAGTTACAGTATTGTAACTTTACTAACTTACAATACTATAACTTTATTTATTTATCTTAATTTGACCAGAGAGAGAGAGAAAAAGTGAGAAAGCAAGCCGCCAGGTCTGGGACTCAAACCGCAGTCGGCCATGTGGTCGGCCATGTGGTCGGCCGTGTGGGACTCCAGCACCCCTAACCACCACAAGCTACCTGCTAATCCCAATAATTCTTTAAGAAAAATGAGCTGAGCAAAAGGAACAACAAATTAGAAAGACATTAGTACTTGGTAGTCTCAGGCAACCTCATTCTTCAAAGGACAGTGTGTTTGTGTGTGTGTGTGTGTGTGCGCGCGCGCGCGCGCGCGCGCGCACGCGTGTGGGGGGGTTGCTTACAAAATTAATTCCAGATATCTAAAATCCCACAAAGTTTAGCCATATCTGCATTGTATGGAATAGGAAGAAAGAGTAAATTCCTATTCTTCAAAGCTTATATTTATGAGACATAAGATAGTAGAAAACATCTATCTTTCCGTCACACATATGGGAAAGTTATTTTGGAAGATGGATGAGGATGAGTTTGCTTGACAAATTTGATTAAATACAATCCCAGAAAGAGACAAGAGATCAAAAGTCAAAATTCTGTTTAGGTCTACAAATAAAGTGTGTTCAGGATGCTACCTTAAGAATTCTTGATGGAGCACAGCAAGTAAACAGCAATGGGAGGAGGGAGCCAGCTCCTTGGCAAGAAGGTAACTGCACAGCTTAGCCAGGTTCCCACATGTCCAGCCTAAAACACTCTAGGCACTGTGCAACTGTCCAAAATCTTACAGGTTAGAAGACTAGAGAAAGGGGCTTTCAGCATGATCAGAGCATGTGGAGGGTGCTTCTCTCTCCCTGTCTTCTCCCCCCACCTTTTACTGTCAGATGCATGCACACATGCCCTATCACAAATAAAGAAAAAAAATGTTTTTAATTCAGCAGTGGGCAATGTTGTAAAGGTAGAATAAGGATATACTCAAAAGAATCAAGGTCCAAGAATGAGTAGGGATAATAGACATGTGTCTTACTCCATTTAGGCTGCTATAATAAAAAATACCATCAACAGGACCAACCAGTGATATAGTGGTTAAGGCAGCTGGATCCTACACAGCAAACTACAGTTCCAAGTTCTGGATCCACCGGCTTGAAAAATATATCAGGTGTGTGTGTGTGTGTGTGTGTGTACCCAAACTCCCAAGAGAATGGAGGAGAAGTGATTGCAGTGTGGCCATCCCCACTGGGGGATGATTTTTCACTTTCCCTCTTTCTGGCAGACACATGTGCCCTATAACAAACCTATATATATATATACGTATATATATATATAGAGAGAGAGAGATCTATATATATACACACACACACACCATAAACAGGCTAGCTTATAAACAACAGACATTTACTTATTTCTACATTTCTGAGACTGAGAAGTCCAAGATTAAGATGCCAGGAGATTTAGGTAAGGGCCCACTTTCTAGTTCACAGATGGTGCCTTGTAAACTGTGTCCTCACATGATGGAAGGGATTTGATAGTTCTCTGGGTTGTCTTTTATAAAAGGGATGCTAATCCCATTCATGAGGACACTGGCATCATCTAATCACCTCCCTAAAACCCTACAGCCTAAGGCCATCACCTTTAGGGTTAGGATTTCAACACAAGAATTTTAGAGGGACATAAACACTGAGACCACAGCAATATAGATATGAAGATCCACAGAGATCTTAGAATTCAATGAGAAATAAAGTATACTACATTTGGTAATATTGTTCATTTCAGGGTCCCCAGAAAGGTATTTTTACTGTCCAGCTAAATGAAGTCTAAAATGTCATCATTTTGGAGCCAGTAGGCGGTGTGGTGGTTTAGTCGCAAGACTCCCACATGGCCAACCCGTGGTCTGAGTCCTCGACCTAGTGACTTTCTCTCTCTTTCTCTCTCTGGTCAAATTTTAAAATAATAATAATAAATGAGAAAATTATTTTTTAAAAATCATAATTTCTTGGGGTCCAGCAGGTGGCATAGTTGTTAGAGCACTGGACACTTCCACATGGTTGACCATGGTTCAAATACCAGACCTGGTTGTTTGCTTTCTCAGTTTGCCTCTCTGTGTGTTTGGGGGACGGGTCAAATTAAAATAAATGAATGAATAAAATTAAATAAATAATTATTTTCTAAAAGTCATAATTTCTTTATTTTCACCTGAACAAAAAAGCCCTTGTTCTCTATTACAACGAAATGGATGTTAGGATGGCTAACAAATCCATTCAAATCTGTCTTTATGTACTTGAAGAGGAATGCATTTAACCTTCAAACATACCATCGTTAGATCCAACTTTAGTTTTTCAAGGGTTGTGTTTTTTTTGGTACTATTTGTAAGAATTTATATTTCATGAGTTCTCATGTTTCTCAAATGTCTTCCAAAGAAAAAGGGGAAAACTTAAAAATTATTGTGAAAAAAAAAAAAGACTGTACCTATGAGCTAGTAGAAAAAGCCAGATCCCACATGGCTGACCTGGATTTGAGTCCTGTTCCCAGTGGTTTGAAATGAAGACAGTGACAGGGCCAGTAGATGGCATGGTGGTTAAGGCACTGGACACTCCCACAGGGCTGACCATGGTTTGAGTTCCGGACCTGTGGATTGCTTTCTCGCTCTCTCTCTCTCTCTCTTCTCTCTCTCTCTTCCCCCCTCTCTGTCTCTCTGGTCAAATTAAAATAAATAAACAAATGAATAAAATTAAATAATTTTTTTTAAAAAAGAGAGAGAAAGAAACACAGTAGGCACAGGTGGGCCTAGGATCCTGACAGGATAGAGAAGTGGAGGAAAAATAGATTGTAACATGATCAGGCCCTTGAGGGATGCTTTTTCTTTGTTTCTTTGTTTTAGTTTGCTATAGGGCACATGTGCTTTCCTGAGAGAGACAGAGATAGAGACAGGGAAAGTGAGAAATCACCTCCAGCCTCAGGGGAGACGGCCATGTCGAAATTCCTTCTCCTTCATTCACCTCTTGGGATTTGAGGCACACATGCACACAAGCCCAACATGCATCTCAAGACACTGAGTCTGGGACTTGAACCATGCAGCCAGCTATGTGGGATCCTGCCACCCCAATCTCTATGCCACCAGACCCATGGGGTGCTTTTCTGTCTCTCTCTCTCAAAAAAAAAAAAAATTAAGGAATAGTACTTACTCTATTCACAATTACCCTATGTGTCCATTATACTCTAGATTGTAAATCCAGGATAAATCATGTATCTTATTAATCTGATTTTTCATATATCTTTAAACATTATGCTACTTCATTATCCATAAAATTATTTCATCATAACTCATCAACTATTCCAGCCTATGCTTTAAAAAATCTAAAATAAGAAAAAGGAAGAATGATGGGAATTGCCTAAGATGATAAAATAGGGCAATGAGTCATCATTATTACATCATCCCTCAGTTTTATTTTTTTAAAGCTCAAAGTATTGCAGCATCTTTCAAAATTTTGAAATATACATTTTGCTCTGTTTGAATTTAACTGAAAAGTCATACTTGAGAAGATGAATGCAGAGACAGAGAGCAGCACTCTAAACTCTAACAATCACAGTAAAATCCATAAATCTTTTTTTTTTATTTTGGACGGGGAGAGGTTTTTGCTATAGGGCATGTGTGCTCGCCAGAAAGACAGAGAGAGACAGAGTCAGCAAAAAATCACCCCAGGGGGCATGGCCACGCCACAATTCTTTCTCCTCCATTCTCCTCTCAGGATCTTGGGCACGCATGCACACACACCTGGCGTGAGTTTAAGCCACTAGGTCCAGGATTTGAACCATGGTCAACTACGTGGGAGTCCAGTGACATAGCCAATGTGCTAACTGCTGGTACCCAAATCCATAAGTCTTTAGATTATCATATCCGACATTAATTTCTCAAATTCAAAAATCATGGAGTGAGCAATAACAGTTCTAAGGTCAAAAAAGTATGGTATTCTCATCCGATTATTCATTAAACATAAATAACTTCACACAATATTTTGCAATACTGCAAATCCAGAAAATTTTGTATTAGCAAGAGCACATTACAATATTCTTTCATCTTTTATGATGTCTATGTGCATAAATTTATTTGATATGATTCTTAAGTGGACAAATGCTAATGGTGATTGTGTTTACAAAGATGACAAGAAGGAAACAGATGCCCTAGAAATGTAAGATTCTTTGAAATGATCATTTATCATTTTGCAAAATGTTTTGCAATTAGGGAGCAAAGATGACTAGTCACTCTTCAACAAAAGTATGCACCTAGGGGTCAGATGATTGTGCAGCAGAAAAATGCAATGCTCTGCAATATGACTGTATGTGGGAAGTTCCCAATGCAAGACCAGAGACCTCCCTGAGTACACAGTGCCCATGATCTGGAGAGAGTTGAAGGTTAGGAGATCACTGAGTAGAGATCCTGAATAAAGAAACATTTTTAAAAACAGAATATGTACCTCCAAAGGTTTCAAAAAATTCTTCAAATCTTACGTTTTAATAATGCAAATACAAGTAGAACCAGAAATACCAATTAGCTAGGATCCAGTAGTACGAAATTTGAAATCTGAAATCACTATTTACAAAATTGGTATGCTCCAGATTCACATGTGACAGATAATGAGCAGTTAGTTGTGTTTAGAGCACACTGTCCATTTTGTGTACTGTATCTTCAAAACCAGAAAAATATAAGAAAAATTTGGGTTGCTCTATTTCAATTCTTAGTAAAAAAAAATGTTTTTGGAGAGGTTTTTGCTATAGGGCACGTGTGCTTACCAGAAAGACAGACGGAGAGACAAAAAGTGAGAAATCACCCCCTAGGGGGGATGGCCAAGACGCAATCCCTTCTCCTCCATTCTCCTCTCAGGATCTTGGGCATGCACCCATTTGCACCCAGCGTGAGTTTAAGCCACCCGGTCTGGGACTTGAATCGCGGTTGACTACATGGGAGTCCAGCGATATAGCCATTACACCAACTGCTGGTCCCTCAATTCTTAGTAATACTAATTTCTAATAAAGATGTTTCCACTATCCCTCTACTTTTATTAAAAAACAGCTGAGGACTCTCTCTCTCTTTTTCTCTTGCTTACTCAGGCTGTTCATGTTAATTTAAAACTTACAACTCAGACTTTTGATTTCATGCCTGTCTTTTCCTCTTTAGAGTCCTCTTTCAATAAGACTAGACATTAAATTTGCTAACGTTTGCCCAGAACAGCAAGCAGCAGCAGGGTGCGGCTGTGGGACACTAGAATGGAACGCCCAGGTTCATCCTTGACCAATATATTAGTACATAGGCTAGGCAGGGTGGTGAACACCTATGGTCCTAGTTAACTTCCTGGCGAGCGCATGCGCCCTATAGCAAAAATCTCTCAAAACAAAACAAAACAAAACAAACAAAAACGTAATTATTAAGTTTCTGTACTTCCCCAGAGAGACAAGCACTCCAACAGGTTCTCACACCACCACGCATCCCCAAAGGGGCTTCGAGCCGCACTAACAGGAGACCTTTCCCATGTGGATGCAGTCCTATTACCACTGTGCCTACCACAGCTGTACAATTAACCCTTCTTTGTCAATTTTCCTTCCGTGAAACCGGAAGAACCTGCCCACTTCAAAGGGTTGTTATAATAATTAAATGAGGAAATGTCTGTAACGTATTCCCAAGGATTTACGAATTTAGAGCTCCATGAATGATAATTACAGTAATACTTTTAATTCCAAAAAACGTAAGAATGTCTCACTATTAGGAATGCAAAAAAGTTAATAACTTAGTCTTTACCCAGGCCTTAAAAGAAGAGAATAGAGAGTAGTAAGACCTAAAGATACTTTTCCAGCCGTTCCTGCTAGGAATTAATATCGCAGAAGCTTCAGTACCCCACCGGAACCCTAACCTCGAAGGAAGCATCAAGTCTGCGCACGCGTAGTTACGCCCAGACCCCTCTTGGCACCTCGTCAAAGGTGCACACTTGTGCGCCTGCGTTGTGACCTACCCTGAGCGCATGCGCTGGGCGGGCTGCCTGGATTGAACGCCATGGCGTGGGTACCAGCGGAGTCTCCAGTAGAAGAGTTGATGCCCCGGCTGTTGCCGGTAGAGCCCTGCGATTTGGCGGAAGGATTCGATCCTTCGGTACCTCCCAGGACGCCTCAGGAATACCTGAGGCTGGTCCAGTGAGTGATTTTGCCTTGTGCTGGTGGGCGGGTCATCCGCCATCTCCTTGGGCACCGCACCTGGTACCGCGCTCAATCCCGTGTGCGTTAAATCCCCGCCTCTGTTCTTTCCCAGCCCCTCGGGAGTTCGCGTCTGCTCAAGATCCCTGGATTAAATCCTAACGTGGGCGAGTCTATGTTAAATTTGATTGTATGAGTCAAGATGAGCGCTTTTAGTTCTTTGCATTCATTCCATATATTTTAAGAAGTACATTGCGTAGTATCTCAATAGCAACTCTGTTTTGTTTTTTTCTTTTGATTTCATGATGAACTGTGGAAATGGACAGCTTGTCTTACCACACATGAGCAAAGCACAATACTAATAATAGTGATTTAATAATAGTAATTAAATCTCTTGCATTTATTACTTGTAGGATTGAAGCAGCTCAATGTCCTGATGTTGTAGTAGCTCAAATTGACCCAAAGAAGTTGAAGAGGAAGCAAAGTGTGAATGTTTCTGTGAGTTTTAACTATATGGAGATCCTCCATACCCCCACCCTCCGCAAATTAAAAGACTAAGGCACTTCTGGTATCCCCTAAACGAATAATGGTTATTGCTAAGATTGGACTTCTCCCTACAAAATAAGACATTCTCTTGTACATTTTCCTCTAGTAGAACATGTGACATTTACTGCCTCCAAAGTGGCTTTTGATAACCATGGTATTTGTGGAGACTTTCCCATCTTCATTTACAGACATGACCCAGTCCTCAAGAGTCTTTTACATAGGTTACTTAAACAATCCCTTTTTTTATTTAACTTTTTTTTTTAAGAATTATTTATTTAATTTCATCTATTCATTTATTTTAATCTGACCAGAGAGAGAGAAAATGAGGAAGTAAGCCACCAGGTCTGGGATTTGAACTGTGGTTGTCCATGTGGGAGTGTACAGCACCTTCAGTACCACACCAAGTGTATTTGTTTTGTGAAAGAGACAGAGACACAGACATCCCCTAAAGGGTCTCAACACTGCCAGTTTTACCGCTGTCTCAACCAGTGCCAACCACTTATAGTGCAAATTTGCTTAGGAAATTCTCTTGAGGCAGATCTAGGACCTGTCCCATGTGGGTCCAGTTGGTTACTGCTGGATCTGGACCTGGCCCCTTATGTTCTTTATTTTATTTTTTAATTTTATCTTTTTTGACATAGGGTGTATGCTGGCTGGAGAATGAGGGAAAGGGAAAGTGAAACATCACCTTCCCCCCACAGGGTTTGACAGCCACTCCACAATCCCTTTTCCATTCTCCTCTTGGGATTTTGGGCATGCATGGTACTTGCTGATTGGTTTTGTCATAGGACTTGCTGGAGAGAAGGAAAGTGAGAAATCACTCCCCACAGAGGAGATGACCACACCACCGTCCCTTCTCTATTCTCCTCCTAGGATTTTGGGCACACATGAGACACACCTAGTGCGATTTTCAAGCCTCCAGGAAGTTTTTGGTTGATAGATTATGATGTTTTATATACCTAAGTTTTAAAAAGTGACCCCATTAAATTTTTTGTTTTTTGCCATATAACACATGTGCTCAGCAAAGAGAGAAAGCACCCCTCAGTGGGGCATGGTCACGCCACAATCTCTTTCCTCCATTTCTATCCAGTCTGTAAGGCTATTGGGCACATACACACATGTGCCCAAAGTGGTCCTCCAGCCTATGGCTGGCATTTGAATGGAGGTCAGCCATGCAGGATCCAGCTCCCAATGCTAGGTCTCAACTACTTCAACACAGGGTGGCCCCATTCCATTAAATGTTATTTCAACCCGATATGTGATTAATTGTGAACTGCATGTTTTCTAAAGTCAAGTGTCTTTCAATTATTTGAACATACCAAATTCTTTATTTAGGGGTCATTTCTTTTTGTTCTAAGTTTGCTATTTTAGACAGGTAGGATTAGATTATATCCTTAGGGCTCATGCTATTTACATTTCTTAGACATTCCAATTATAAATCATTCTAGATTTCCTTTAAAGTTATTAAGGATCATTTTCTTTCTTAAAAAAGAATTATTTTCTTTATTATTATTATTATTTAATTTGAGAGAAACAGAGAGAGAGAGAAAGTTAGAAAGCAAAACTCCATGTCTAGAATTTGAACCATAGTCGGCCATGTGGGAGTCCAACACCTTAACTACCATGCCACCTGCCAGCTCCAAGGCTCTTTTTCTAATGTTTTTAACTAGGGCATAAATAGTAAAGTGAAACGCCTGTTTTATTGCATATGCAAAAAGTATTTTATTTTTCTTGAGTAGTCTTATTTACTATATTACTCTATCTTGGTTTTACCTTTGTAAAGGTAAACATCGTAGAAGTGTGAAGTTCTAATTATAACACTAATATTGATTCTAACATTTATGAACTGATCTCAAGCTTTCAGGATGCCAACCCGCTCCTGAAGGTTATTCTCCAACACTCCGGTGGCAACAGCAACAAGTGGCACAGTTTTCAACTGTTCGACAGGTAGGCATCAAATTTAATAAGATTAAATCTTCCCTCAGATGGTTTCTGTTCTTAGACAGTAGTTGGAAAAATAAGATATATGTATTTCAGAATATTCATGAATGAATTACCAAATTATTACTATAATTATTAGACACAATACAGTTTGAAACATGTATTCCAAGTTTTAGGATCGTTAGAATTTTATTCAGGAAAAAAAAAGAATTTGTGCAGAAACTGATTTAATTTTCCATTTTGTGAAGATCACTAACTTTTTTTCTTTTAGAGTGTGGACAAACATAGAAATCACTGGAAATCACAGCAGTTGGATAGTAATGTGACTATGGTATGTATGTAAGTTTCTCAGTTTAAATTGTACAATGTATACCTGTTTGCAGTAGTTGACATTTACTTCTAATTTTTAAAGATTCACTTTCTTAATCTACATTTTCACTCTTTCATTATCAATAACAGTAATAATTCCATTATATTAGTAGGCTGAAAAGTATAGAATCAGTACGTTGTTATTGTTAGGACTTTTTGTTGTTGTTGAGAACACTTGTGCTGGCCAGAAAATCAGAAAGAGAGGAAGAGAAGAAAACATCCCCCATGGGGAATGGTCACACTGCAGTCCCTTCTCTTCCATCTCTCCCTCCCTTGGGTATTTTGAGTACACACATGCATGTGTGCCTGCACTTTTCACAAGCCACTGAGCCCAAGACTCAAACTCTTGAGCTGACCATATGGGATCTGGTATCCTTACATACCAGGCCATGGAGCAGACCTGTGAATTTTTTTTTTTCTTTTTTAAATTTTACTGTAGTATACCGGCACTTGTTGGAGACAGAGAGAGAGAGAGAGAAAGAGAGAAAGTGAGAAATCATCCCCGTCCCTCCTCCATTCTCATCCTCTCCAGACTTTGGTCATACCCATCCAGCATGATTCTCATGTCACTAGGTTGGGATTCAGACTGTATAGTCAGCCATATGGTATCCAGCTGCCATAACCTCTATGTCACCTGCCGGCTCTTATGATTATATTGAGCTGAGGTGCTTCTTCCTACTGGTTCTGCTTTTTTCCATCTGGTAACAAGGAGTAAATCTATTCCTAGTTTGACCAGACAGCCCTGGAAGTATGTGAAATATGTAATTATGTCTCCTTTTCTGGGATAAACGACTTTCATTCTTAAAAGCATTCTTAATGTATTTTTCCCTCATACTGAGTTTCATCTTTATCATCCTCTTTTGGACACACCCTTGCTTGTTGAAGTCCATTAAAATGTGATCTAAACTAAACATATCCTACATGTGATGTGACCACTTAGGCACTGTATTTGCTAAGGCTACCATAAAAGACTAGGAGGCTTAGGCAAAGACATTTATTTTCTCACAGTCTTAAAGGCTCAAAGTCAAAGAACAGGATATCATCAAAGTTGGTTTCTTTTAAAAAAAAATAATAATTACTTATTTCATTTTATTCATCCATTCATTCATTCATTTATTTTAATTCGACCAGAGAGATGGAAAGCAAGACAGCAAGCCACCAGGTCTGGGACTCGAACCATGGTCAGTCATATGGAAGTGTCCAGCACCTTAACCACCATACCACCTGCTGGTCCCCAAAGTTGGTTTCTTTCTAAGGAGGCATCTCTCCTTAGCTTATAGATGACCACCTTCTTCTTGTATCTTCATATAGTCTTTACTCTGTGCATGCAAATCCCTCGTGTCCCTTTGTGTCCAAATTTCCTGTAATGGTACCAGTTAGATTGGCTTAACGCTCACTCTAGTGGCATTTTAATTTAATCACTTTTTAAAGGCCTTATTGCTGAATACAGACTCCAGGTTAGGGCCTCAGCATGTGAATCTTGGGGACACACAATTCTGCCCCTCACTGGTGCCATATCTTTATATTGAGGTGGTAAGAGTATTGCAGATCCTCACTTATCTTTCTTCTGTTATGTATGAAAGTAAATAAATAAATATCTTTTTCTTCTCCAGCCAAAATCTGAAGATGAAGAAGGCTGGAAAAAATTTTGCCTTGGTGAAAGATTATGTGCTGAAGGAGCCATTGGACCAGCCACAAATGAAAGTCCTGGAATCGATTATGTACAAGTAGGTAATAGGTGGATAAACAAAACAAAAAGTGTTCCATTGGTGTATCACTTAGTATGAGAGGTTACAAACCACAACCAAAGCCATATCTAGTCCACAGCCTGTTTTTGTACACCCTGTGAGCTAAAAATGGTTTTTACATTTTTGAAGGGTTGTAAAAAAGAAATAATATGTAATAGATTATGGTGGCCTATAAAGTCCAAAATATTTACTACCTGGCCCTTTACAGAAAATGTTTGCCAACCCCTGACTTAGTTTACTAGCTCTTACTTACAAAGTGACACCCCAGTTTCTGAAAAAATTTACTACGATTTATTTTAGGCTGTCTTCATATTTCGTATAGTTTAGCTGTGTATTAATTTTATGGGTTAGGTAGGATTCTTTTTTTTTTAAGGATTAATTAATTAATTAGTTATTTTATTTGACCTGAGAGAGAGAAAGGGAAAGTGTGGAAGCAAGCCATCAGGTTCAGGGCTCAAACTGCACTTGGCTGTGCGGAAGTCCAGCACCTTAGCCACCACGCATCCTGCTGGCCCCAAGATTCTTTTCTTTTAAATGACTAGATTTGAGTCAAACAAAAGTTGTTTTTCTTTTTTTTAATTTGTTACTTTATTTCTCTCTTTCTTTGGTGAGCACATATGCCCTCTGGCAATTAAAAACAATTTTACCTTCAAGCTATATAAAACATAAATTAACTTTGAGTTTACACTTCAGTCCTTTCCTCAAGATACTCATTGTGTATATGTATGTATGTATGTGTGTGTGTGTGTGTGTGTGTGTGTGTGTGTGTGTATGCTTATAACAAATAAAAACCTAGGTGGCTACCATTCAAGTCAAGCTCCCATTATGTCTCTTCTTGATAACAGCTCTCTTTTTATCCCAGTGAGACAACCATGATCTCAAGTATAGCTAATGATTGTTCATTTTCAATGCTATATAGCTCTATGATGATAAATGGATTTATTTATCTATTCTAGTTTTGACAGGGATATTTCCATTTGGGGCTATTACAAGTGATGGTGATGTGAACATTCTCTCTCTGTCTCTGTCTGTCTGGCAAGCACATGCGCCCTATAGCAAAAACCTCCAAAAAAAAAACTCTTTTTCAAAATCTGAAACATGGTCCCCAGCATTTTGAATAAAGAATACTCAGTCTGTAGTATCATTTTTTTAAATTCCATGCTTGAAGATTTTAATTACTAAAATCGTTTATTTAAAAATTTGTATATTCAAACTTTAAGATATCTTTTCTTTTTGCATTAATGACATACTCTTGCTTGGAATATCTTACAATGGGCAGTGAAATAATTTTTGTTTTTTATCTATTCTTTGTTTCTAAATAGCAATATGGCAAAAAATGCACCAGTTTGAAAAAAGAATAATGAAGCTCCTTTTACAATACCACTTAGTAAATTTCATTTTCATTTTTCTTTCAGATTGGTTTTCCTCCCTTGCTTAGTATCGTTAGCAGAATGAATCAGGTAAAGTCCATCTGATAATAAGGATATATGTATTCTTTTGTTTGTAATATGAAGATATTTCTATGAAGTATTTGAATACATTTGCTGAATATTTATAGTATATATGACCTTGACCTAAACTGTGGTTTTATTTAATCCTCAGCATAAGCCTATGGATAGTTGGGGTTTTTTAATTAAATAATTACTTAATTTTATTTTTTAATTCACCAGACAGAGATACAGAGAGAGAGAGAAAGTGAGAAAGCAAGAGACCGACAGAAAGAGAGAAAGCACGAAAGCAAGCTGCCAGGACTTGAACCATGGTCAGCCATGTAGGAGTGCCTTAGCCACCACAACATTTTCTGGCTCCTGTTTTATTTTCTTTTAATTTGTCAGCAAGCATAAAAAAGAGACAAATAGATGGGGAGAATGTTTTCCTGATGGACATAGTTACACTACCATCCCTTTTCCTCCACCTCTCCATGCCTTCATGGTTTTGAATACACATGCAGGCATGCCCAGTGTATTTCTCTTAAAAAGCCACCAGTTCGCTTTTTAAGATCCAGCTCCCTTTACTTCTAGGACATGGGGTCACTCCTGGTGTTTTATTAATAACTATTTTTAATGGATGAGGAGACAAAATTTAAGGTTAAATAATTTGAAAGATGGGTTTTCAGCAAGGAAATATCAGCACTGGAATTCAGTGCCAAGTAGATTAATTCCAGTGCTCATTACTTTCAATCAATACTAAAGTATTCAATTATGAAAAGTTCAGTTATAAATCTTAGATTCTGGGACTTGAATTAAATACTAAGGTTAGATTGCTATTTCCATTTTTAGACAGGGACCAGCAGTTGGCGTAATGGCTATGTTGCTGGATTCCCATGTGGTCAACTGCGGTTCGAGTCCTGGACCCAGTGGCTTAAACTCAGGCTGGGTGCATGGGGGTGCATGCCTAAGACCCTGAGAGGAGAATGGAGGAGAAGGGATTGTGGCGTGGCTATCCCCCCCTGGGGGGGGATTTTTTAGCTTTCAGTCTCTCTGTCTGTCTCTGTCTTTCTGGTGAGCGCACACACCCTATAGCAAAAACCTCTCAAAAAAAAAAAAAAAAAAGATTGTAATACATAGGGCCAACAGATGGCATAGTGGATATGGCACTGGACTCCCACATGGCTAACCATGGTTCAGGTCCCAGACCTGGCAGCTTGAAAATCATGCTGAGCACGTGTGCATGCGTGCCCAAAATCCTAAGAAGAGAATGGAAGAAAAGACCATCCCTTCTGGGGGTGATTCTCACTTTCCCTCTCACTCTCTGTCTCTAGTAATTGTATATACCCTATGGCAAAAACCTTAAAAAGATAAGATAAAATTTCCTAAGTGATTTCTAAAAGAAAAAAAGATTATAATACATCATAATTTCTTGGATTAAAGGGGAGAATTACAGAGTTTGGTGCTTTGGTCTTTTAGTAATCCTGACTCTTTGTTGTCCATTTAAAAATCAAATAAAGGCCTGCCCCATACATAGTGCAGCAGTTAAGTACTGGGTATAGAAAACCAGATCCTGCATGGCAGGCTGTGGTTCAACTCTCAGACCTGGTGACTTGGAAAAAAGTCAGGCTCATGAGCGTGCATCCCCACATAGAATCCTGAGAGGACAGAGAAGCGGAGAAAGGGGGATTGTAATGTGACTGTGCCCCAACTGAGGAGCACATCCTTTCTCTCTGGCAAGTATGCATACCATTAGCAATTTTTTAAAAGCAAATAAAATCTGAGGCCATCAGATGGTATATAGTGGATTCCCATGTGGGGACCACGGTTTGAGTCCTGGACCCAATGGCTTGAAACTCAAGCTGGGCACATGTGCGTACGTGCCCATTATTCCTGGAGAATGAAAGGAAAGGGATTGCAGCATGGTCATCTCCCCTGGGGAGTGATTTCTCACTTTCTGTCTGTCTCTCTCTCTGGCGAGCGCACGCATCCTATACCAAAAATCTCTCAAAAAAAAAATATTTCTGTAGCTAATTTTCTCTTTAGATTTGTACTTTGACTTAATTGGAATTGGAAAATGGACTGAAGATATTTATACAAAAACTTTTTTTTTAATTCACCAGAAAGAGACAGGCAGGGAGAAAAAAAGTGAGAAAGCAAACCAGGAGGTCCAGGACTCAAACCACAGTCAGCCATGTTCAGTACCTTAACCACCATGCCACTTGCAATCCCAAGACTACTTTTTTAAAATTAGTATTTATTTAATTTCACTTGTTATTATTATTATTTAATTTGACCAGAGACAGAAAAAAAGAGAAAGAGAAAGCGAGCACAAGCCACCAAGTCCAGGACTCAAACTGCGGTCGGCCATGTAGGAATCCAGCACATTTAACCACCACGCCACCTACCGGCCCTAAGACTATTTTTTTAAAGAGTATGTGAAGTTTTTTAGGTAGTTACAAACTAAATTAGCAGCTACAAACTTAAGCCTAGGATTTAATCCAAGGCATTAATTGATACTTAAGAGTGTAAGAATATTTGTCTTAAAAAGCCTCTTCTTGGGCAGGCCCTGTAGCACAGTGGTTAAGAGCTGTGCTTGGAAGCTAAATCCCATGTGGCCAACTAACTGTGGTATAAATCCTGGCTCAGGAGGCTTGAAAACATATACGTGGATGTCCAAAATCCTAACAAAGGAAAAATGAAAGAAAGATTGCAGCATGACCAGGCCCCACCAGGAAGTCTTTCTGTCTGTGTGTATCTCTCTCCCCCTCCCTCCCTCCCTCTTTTTCTCTTTCTCCCTCTTTCTGGTGAGCACATGTGTTCTCTGCAATAATTTTATTTTTAATAAAAATAAATATGGGACTAGCAGATGGCATAGTGGTTATAATGCTGGACTCCCACATTGCTGACCACAGTTCAAGTCCCAACCTGGTAGCTTGAGGGTGGTACCAGGCAAGTGTGCGTGTTATTACCAAAATCCCAGAAGGAAAATGGAAGAAAAAGGATTACAGTGTGGCCATTCCCCCTGGGAATAAAGGGCAACATCTCACTTTCTCTCCCATTCTCTCTGTGAAGGGTGACATCTTGCTTTCTCATTTTCTCTGTCTCTCTTTGGCAAGTGCATATACCCTATGACAAAAAACAACAACAAAATTTTAAATAATCATTTATTTTATCATTATTGTTGTTTTTAATTTGACCAGATTGAGACACAAAGAGAGAGAGAGAGCAAGAAAGCAAGCCCCCAGGTGCTGGTCTTGAACCACAGTCAGCCATGTGGGAGTCCAGCACTCTTAACCACCATGCCACCTGCTGGACCCCCCAAAAAAAACAAATTTTTTTTTAATTAAAAATTATGTAAATTTTAAGTGCCTCTTATTGAATGAGTCTCTTTATCAAATCACTTATCATAGTGACAGTTTTCTTTAGAAATCTAAAGAATTTTAAATATCAAGAGTTGCATGTATTTTTTTTTTTTTAATAATTACTTAGTTAGGGGCCAGCAGATGACGTAACAGTTATGTCATTGGACTTCCCCATGGCCAACCACAGTTTCAGTCTTGGACCCTAGTAACTTGAAACTCACACTGGGCACATGTGCATGCATGGCCAAGATCCCCAGAAGAAAATGACAAAGAAGGGATTGTGGTATGGCCATCTCATGTTTCTTCTCACTGTCTCTGTCTCTATCTCTCTTCAGCAAGCACTGAAGGCAAAAATCTAAAAAAAAAAAAAAAAATTATTCAATTTTATTATCTTTTTTTTTTTTTTTTTTTTTTTTTTTTTTAAATTTTACTATAGAGAGAGAGGGGGAATGTAATTTAAAAGCAAACTGCCAGGACTGGGACCTGAATCACGGTCAGCCATGTGGGAGTGCAGCACCATTACCACTATACCACCTGCTGTCCCCACAAGTTGCTTTCTAAATAAACTTAGAGAAACGCATGTTGAACTTGTTGGTTTTCTATTACTAATATAACTCTCCTTTACCCTTCCCTCCTTTTTTTAGGCAACAGTAACTAGTGTCTTGGAATATCTGAGTAATTGGTTTGGAGAAAGAGACTTTACTCCAGAACTGGTAGTATCGTATCTTTTCATCTTTGTAATGCAGACAAAATTACTTTATTTATTAGATATGACTCTAAAATATTTTACATTTATACCTTTGTATGTATAGATATATGTATAACTATATGTGACCCAAACTATGTTTTTACTAAAATAAGGAATTTAAACCAGAATGTAAATCAACAAACTATTGAGTTGTCAGAAAAGTCATGACACATTTTTGCATAGAAAAACACATGGCTTTTCTGATGACCAATACTTTCTTCATTGGAAAAGTCTTGCATTGAGAAAGAAAAAAAAAGGTCAGTGAAAAGAGTTGATTTATATCCTGTACAAGCTACTATTCTTGTTGCAACCCAAACAAACAGGTCATAGATTGGCAACCAGTCCGCAGACCCCACTTCGAGTAACACTGACTTAAAGAAGTTTGAATTGCATTTTCTGAATTACCTTAAAAACCCAGTTCGTGGGGCCAGCAAGTGGTGTGGTGGGTAAGAGCTCTGGACTCCCACATGCTGACCATGGTTTAAGTTTCGGATCTGTCACTTTCCATTTCTCTCTCACTGTCCCTCTCTGGTCAAATCAAAAAATAAATAAAAGTTAAATAAAATACTCCTTTTTAAAAAAATTCAGTTCATAAGAGAATATCAGAAATAACAATAATAGCATGTGCTACATGCTAGCATTGCTCTAAGTACTTCGTTTTTGTTTCTAAGAATTATTTTATTTAACTTTATTTATTTATTTATTTATTTATTTAATTTAACCACAGAAGGACAGAGAGAACAGAGAGAGACAAAGTGAGAAAGCAAGCCACCAGGTCCAGGACTCAAAATGTGGTTGGCCATGTGGGAATCCAGCACCCTTAACCACCATGCCTCCTGCCAGCCCCTGTTTTAAGTACTTTGTATATACTAATTCATCGAACCCTTCAATACCTATGAACTATTGCTATCCCCATTTTACAGATAAGAACATTGATACACAGGAGGGGTTCACTAACATATTTAAGGTCACTTAGCTGACACTATCAACTCAGACCCAGCCCCGGTAGCCTAGCTTTCCATCTGTGGTAGATATGTGTTAGAATCTGATTCCTAACAACCATATTATACGGCGTAGTTTTATAGCTTCATAGTCACAGCTCAATTTTTATGACAAAATTGGTTAAGTCTGGTGAGTATTATAAATCAATTACCTGCCTAATGCTCCTAATACATTCTTTTAAAGAACTATTTTATTTAATTTTATTTATTATTATCATCATTATTGTTTTCCAGTTTGATCAGAGAGAGACAGAGAGAGAGAGAGAAGAAGTGAGAAAGCAAGCCACCAGGTCTGAGACTTGAACCGTGGTCGGCCATGTGGGAGTCCAGCACCTTCAACCACCATGCCACTTGCCAGCCCCCATCCTAATACATTTTTTTAAAGAATTATTTAATTTTGGAGCCAGCAGGTGGCATGGCGGTTCAGGACACTGGACTCCCACATGCCAACTGTGGTTCGAATCCCAGACCTGGTGGCTTGCTTTCTCATTTTCCGTTTCTTTCTATCTCTCTCTGGTCAAATTTAATAATAACAACAAATAAACCTTTTTTAAAATAATTATTTAATTGTATTATTTACGTATGTATGTATGTATTTAAATTTGCTGTAGAGCATGCATGCTCACCAAAGAGAGAGAGAGAAACTAAGAAATCAAGCCCCTAGGTCTGGGACTCAAACCATGGTTGGCCATGTGTGGGTCCTGCACCGTAATCACCACGCCGTCTGCTGACCCTTCCTAATACACTGTCCCCACTGCCCCCCCACCCCCCAGAGGGTTTAGCTATAGGGCACGTGTACTCACCAGACAGACAGAGACAGAAAGGGAGAAATCACCCCCGAGAGGGGATGGCCACACCGCAATCCCTTCTATCGGGATCTTGGGCATGCACGCACACACACCCAGCGTGAGTTTTAAGCCACCAGGTCCAGGACTCGAACCATAGTCGACTACATGGGAGTCTAGCAACATAGCCATTATGCTAACTGCTGGTCCCAACATTGTTAAGAACTTTTATCCTTCAAAGTAGATTTAAATTTTAGAAACAATGCTTTTTCACAATTGAAGATATTTACAAAGAGCATATCAGAGGACCCAAAACAATCCCCCTATCAAGACATTATAATATAAAATCTCTACTCTCTGGAAGCTTATAGTCTTCTGAGACAGACAGATAAACCAACATTATGTTCTAATAAGTTTCCAAACCTACCTGGGAAGTAGCTTAAAGTACCTTCCATAGGTACAGTGACCATATGATTTATCACCAGATTTTTTTATTCTAGAATTTTATATTTTCATCCTTTTAAATCTCTTCTATCTACTATGTATTTTTTATATGGAAAAAGTTCATATGTTTAAAATTGCCACTTCAGGGGCCAGCAGGTAGCGTGGTAGTTAAGGGCACTGGACTCCCACATGGCCAACTGAGGTTCAAGTCCCAGACCTGGTGGCCTGCTTTCTCACTTTCCCTCTCTCTCTCTCTTACTCTGTCCCTCTCTGGTCAAATTTTTTAAATAAAATTTAAAAGTAATAACATAAAATAAAATGGTCACTTCTTGGGGTAGTGTGTAGTTAAGGCACTTGCCTCCCACATAGCCAATGGCAGTTTGAGTCTCAGACTAGAAGCTTGCAAATGGTGCCGGGTACATGTGTGTATGTCCAAAATCCTGAGAAGAGAATGAAGGAGTAGGGATTGCAGTGTGGCCATCTCACCAGAGGGTGATTTCTCACTTTCCCTCTCTCTGTCCACTCTGTCAAGCATACTCACCCTATAGCAAAAAAAAAAATTATATATATATATATATATAAAACCGCTTCTGCTTCTTTGTTGTCATACATGTCTTTCACATAATTGTGATTGATCAATGACTTTTTTAGCATACATTTTATATATGTATATGATCATGTAATTCACATAATTGCCATTGTCTTGCATCTCTTTATTTTGATTCTCTCATTATTGACCATTTGGGCTCTTCCTAGTGGTTTGTTTTCTTTTTCTTTTTTTGAGATTTTTTTTTTTTTTTTTTTTGCTACAGGGCGCGTGCACTCACCAGACAGACAGAGAGAGACAGAGAGACAGAAGCAAGAAATCACCCCCCAGGGGGGATGGTCACGCCGCAATCCCTTCTCCTCCATTCTCCTCTCGGGATCTTGGGCACGCACACACATGCTCCTGACGTGAGTTTTAAGCCACCGGGTCCGGGACGCGAACCTCGGTCAACTACGTGGGAGTCCAGTGACATAGCCATTACGCTAACTGCTGGTTCCCTCTTCCTAGTGTTTTGTGATCAGAACAGAATTACAAACATTTACAATAATTTTTTAAAATTATTAACTTCTCAGGATATTTCTAGATTAAAATTACTGGATTATGGGGCTGGCAGGTGGTGTGATGGTTAAAGGCACTGGACTCCCACATGGCTGACCGTGGTTCGAGTCCCAGACCTGGTGGTTTGCTTTCTAACTTTCTCTCTCTCTTGCTCTGTCCCTCTCTGATCAAATTTAAATAAATAAATAAATAAAGTTAAATTAAATATATATATATGTGTGTGTGTGTGTGTGTGTGTGTGTGTGTGTGTGTGTGTATGTATTACTGAATTAGTGGCCTGGACCCAAAGCACAGTGGTTAAGTGTTATGCATTAGGAGCCAGATTCTCCATTGCTGGCAGTGGTTTGAATCTCGGCTTTGTCAACCTGAGAAACATCAGGCATGTGTGTGCATGTGCCCAAATCCTAATAGAAAGGAGTGGAGAAAACACGGGATTGTGCTGTGCTCATACCCTGTTTCTTCCCCTTACCCTACATTTGTATGTGCCCTCTGGCAATAAATTTTTTTTTAAGGAAATTACCAGGGGCCAGCAGGTAGCATGGTGGTTAGAGGCACTGGACTCCCACATGACTGACAGCAGTTCGAATACTGGACCAGGCAGCTTGCTCTCTCACTTTCTCTCTCATTGTGTCCCTCTCTGGTCAAATTAAAATGAGTAAATAAAGTTAAATAAATTAATCTTTTTTTAAAAAACAAAGGAAATTACTAAACTAAGATCTTATTAGCCATTGTTAACATTTTGCCAGAGGGTTTGTTTTTTTTTCCCCCAGAAGAAATGAACCAGTTTATTATGTCATCTGCAATAGATAAATTTATTTCTCTTTTCTGAATTCCCACCTTAAGTTGAACCATATGAAATTGTCATTTTTGTAGCTTAAAAAATTTGATTATCAGAAGTTCTATCTGGGTCAATCTGACATTATTTCCTAATCCTATGATTATTTTTCAAATTTAGCAAATTTGTATTGGCATTTCAAATTAAACATAATGTACATTTCTTTTCAATATTTGTGAAACAATTTTTTTTCCATGTGTTAGTGTAATAGGTACACCTTTAATAGGTAACTTTGCTCATGACCTTAGGCTACTTGTTTATTAGAATCTAGATATAGAATTTTAAATTTTGTGTGAGGCTTTTTTTGTTGTTTTTTTAATTGCCATTGGGCTAGTGTGCTCACCAGAGAAAGGGAGTGGGGGAATTAAGAACCCCCTGGTGATGTGTGATCATGCCTTAATACCTTCATTTTTCCATTTAGTTGCAGTATTGAGCATACATGCTCACCTGCCTGGTGTGTTTTTTAAGCCTTATGGGCTTGGATTTTGAACTGCAGTCAGCTATGTGAAACTTGGCTCCTGTTTTTTTTTTTTTTTTTTTTTTTTTTTTTTTAATTTTTATTTTTATTATCATTATAATCTTCTTTATATTACATTGGATTACATATAACTTTACATTGTATTACATTGATCCCTTCTCCATTCTCCTCTTGGGATCTTGGGCACGCACATGTGCCCAGCGTGAGTTTAAGCCACCAGGTCCGGGACTCGAACCACAGTCGACCACATTGGAGTCCAGCGACATAGCCATTACGCCAACTGCTGGACCTAAAACTTGGCTCTCTTTAACGACTAGGTTGTGGGACTGGTCCATAGTGACCTTTTATCAATGTTATTTTTCTGTTTTGTTTTTCTTCTCTGTCTTTTACCTATTAAAACAAAACTAAACAAATGAACAAAACAACCAACTCTATGTTGTAAGATTTTGGGGATTTTTTTAAAAAGAATTATTTATTTTAAATTTTATTTATTCATTCATTTATTTTAATTTGATCCAAGAGAGACACAGAGAAAAGGGAGAGAGAAAGTGAGAAAGCAAGCCACTAGGTCTGGGACTCAAACCATGATTGGCCATGTGGGAGTGTCCAACGTCTTAACAACCACACCACCTGCAGGTGCTGGTCCTTTCTTTTTTACTTATTAAATTTACTCACTCAAGAAGAGATGATAGTAAGAATCACTGAAACAAATTCTTTGGGTGTCAGGGAGTACTTTGAATAATCCAGTATTCTGTCTACAGTTAAAAGATACAAGAGTTATCACCTGTCTCTCCAAATGATCTTTTGTTGTCTATATCCAAATTTATTAATAAAATATTCTGTGAATTAATTCATAGCAAATAATCAAGCACAACATTGGACATTTTAAAATATAAGTAAAACTTATGGCTTAGTCTTTGTCTACTTATTTCTTTTTAAAACTCTTTAGGGACGATGGCTTTATGCTTTATTAGCTTGTCTTGAAAAACCTTTATTACCTGAGGCTCATTCACTGATTCGACAGCTTGCAAGAAGGTGCTCTGAAGTGAGGCTCTTAGTGGTAAGTTGCAACATACTATTTCGAATCAAAAGCACCCACCAATTTATGTGGTGATAAGGAAGGATTCCAATAAAGTTGGAAAACATGGACTATAACAGAAAAGTCCAAAGTAGTAGTAGCTTAAATAAAATGGGAATATTTTTCTCAGGTGAAGAAAGTCTGAAGGTAGGCAGATAAAATCTAAAATGGAAATAAACCTGACCTTTTAGTTCTGCATATGACTTGCACCTTCAAATTCATCTCATGACCCAAGTTAGCTGTTGGCCAGTATATTTTATTATGGGCAACTGGGAAGAGGAAGCCATAAAGACTGCCCTTTAAATATCGATAGCATTCCTAAAAGTAGCATAGAACAGTTGGCTTTACATAGCTCAGTGGCCACAATTTAGTGACTTGGTCATATGGGATTATGGGACATTTAATTTTGCATTTGGATAGCAGTGTCTAACTAAAAATAGCTTCTGTTCTAAATAATAATGAGATACAGGAAGTGGTGAACTAACAGTCTCTTGCACAAGTGAATGTTTTAAATTTCTTCAATCAGATCTTTCCTCTAATTCATGCCTATAGCAATGCTATATAAATTAATCTGAGGCCAAATTAAGCTCAGTAGTGATTTTTGTTTTCCTTTCCTTTCTCTTTCCCCTCGCCCCAGAATGTATACTTGTTCTCCACTGACCACTCCAAACATTTTTTTTCTTTTTAAGTGCCGAAGGGTACATACTCACTTATGCAAGGGAAAAGGAGAGAAAGCCCCCCATGTTAAGGTCATACCACAGTACTTTTTCCTCCATTTGTCTATCCTATCAGGATACTGGGCGTACACACGCTCCCAATGTCACCAGGCCATGACTCGAACTCTAGACAGCCTTGTGGCAGCCATCTGGCTTTCTTTGTGCAGTGCTTAAAAACTGCTGCACTGTGGGGACCAGCAGTTAGCGTAATGGCTATGTCGCTGGACTCCCACGTAGTCGACCGCGGGTCGAGTCCTGGACACAGTGGCTTAAAACTCACTCCAGGCGCGTGTGTGCGTGCCCAAGATCCCGAGAGGAGAATGGAGAAGGGATTGCGGCATGGCCATCCCCCCTGGGGGGCGAGTTCTCACTTTCTATCTCTCTGTCTCTGTCTGTCTGGTGAGCGTACGCGCCCTATAGCAAAAACTTCTCCCCCCCCACAAAAAAAAAAAAAACTGCTGCACTGTGAGGCCAATTCTCCAAAATATTTTCATTAAATTTCCATTATGTGGTTCAAACTAGCTTTTATATGGCCTGTGTGCCCAGCAAAATAAATTTACTGTTCAATAATATCTCCCATGCCTTGTTCCTAGACTTTAGTCCCTCCGCAGAAGTGCCTTTTCACTCTCTTCTAATCTACATCTGAATACCATTTATTTTTCACTGTTTGGCTCATATTCCAATTGCTATGGTACTTCCTCTGATCTTAAAACTAGAAAAAATATACCATTTCATTTTCCACCAGTGTTAGCACATTTTGTCTTTTATTAAAGCTAATATGTGGATATTTCATCTTTTATGCTATTAGCAGGTAATATATTTTATTCAATTTTGTTACATATAGTACTTGGCACATAGAAGGGCTGAAACACTGAAATTATCAAGGGCCAACCCAACAGCCTAAAGGTTAAGGGAGCTAGATCCCATATGGTCCATTGTGGTTCGAGTCCTAGTCTTGGCAGCTTGAAAAACAGCAGGTGTAGGGACCAGCAGGTTAGTGTAATGGGTATGTCACTGGACTCCCACGTAGTCGCCCGTGATTTGAGTCCCACACCCAGTGGCTTAAACTCACGCTGGGTGCATGTGAGTGCATGCCCAAGATCCCAAGAGGAGAATGAAGGAGAAGGGATTGCAGCACGGCCATCCCCCTTGGGGGATGATTTCTCGCTTTCTGTCTTTCTGGCAAGTGCACGCACCCTATAGCAAAAAAAAAACTCTCAAAAAAAAAAAAAGAAAAACAGCAGGTGTGTATGCATGTGTATCCTGAATTCTGATAGGATGGAGAAAAGGGGATTGTAGCATAACTATGCCCTATTGGGGGTACTTTCTCCCTCTGTTTCTGGCAAAACTATGTTTTATCTGGCAATTTAAAAAAAGATGCTCTTAGATATTTTTCAAGGAAATCATTAACTCCATAGTCTTTTTCTTTGGGTGTTCCTATTTCTGTGTGATGGAAAATCTAATAAATTTTTCATGTTTTGCATCTTTAAAGGAAATTTATTTCAAAAATATCAGGAACAGATTATATTAAAATTTTCTTTCTTTTTTTATTTTTTTAGGACAGCAAAGATGATGAGAGGGTTCCTGCTTTGAATTTATTAATCTGCTTGGTTAGCAGGTATAATTTAATAATTCATGGCCTTTCACTTTTCTGTTTATCAGTGAGGGTAGAACGTGTTTAATTTTGTTTCATTTGTTTTTTTATTTATTTTTTTAAAGATTTATTTTAATTTAACTTTCTTTCTTTCAATTTTAATTTGACCAGCGAGGGACAGAGAGAGAGAGAGAGGGAAAGTGAGAAAACAAGCCACCAGGCCCAGACTCAAATCCCTGTTGGCCATGTGGGATTCACCAGCACCCTTAACCACCACACCACCGGCCGGTACCCTCATTAGTATTTACTAAATAGCCTGTTCCTTTGTTCATTTTCAGTTGGAGCATATTTTATTTTATACATGTTTTGTTTCATTTCTTCATCAGAATTCTACCTGGGATTTATTTAAAATTTGTTTACATTCTAAATTGTTAATAAAACAAATATATATCATACATATATGTATAACATGTTATATATTATACATTATATATGTTACCCATGATCTATGTTGTATTTATATATGCATGTATACATGTATTAATATGTCACATATATGTTATTTATAATATGTTATACATTATATATGAGATTATATATATCATAACATTTATATTTTATTTCTTTTCCTGGACATATTTATATTCCAGTGCTAGTATCTTTTTAAAGCTTTATAATCTATTTAAATATTAGAAAGGTAAGTAATTCTGTGTTCATTCTTTCCTCCCACAAACAAGACAGTTTTTCAGAATACTGTGTATTCGTATTTAACATCCAGTTTCTTGGTATACAATAATTGTACTGCTGATGATAATTAACACTTACTGGGTACTTTGTGCCAATCATTTTTATTATTAATTGAAAATAGAAACTCACTGGAAGCAACAGATGGTATAATGGTTATGTTGCTGGACTACCACATGGCTGATCATGGTTCAAGTCCTGGATTTGGTGGCTTCAGATTCATGCCGGGTGCACTTGCATGCATGCCCAAAATCTTTTTTTGTTTGTTTGTTAAAAAAACTTTATTAAAATTAAATATCTTTTTTTTTTAATTTTTAAATTTTTTTTATTTTTAGTTTTGTTTTTTTTTTATATTGTTAGGGTTAGGGTTAGTGTTAGGGTTTAGGGATACTGTTAGGGGATTGCTGCGTAGCCATCCCCTCTTAGGGGTGATTTCTCGCTATCTGTGTCTATGTCTCTTCGGAAAGCACACGTCTCCTGTAGCAAAAATCTCTCAAAAAATAAAAATAAATTTTAAAAAATAGAAACTCACTTAGCATTTATCAGGGTAGGTACTGTGAACAGTTTACAGATAAGGAAGCCATGGCAGATAGAGGTGAAGTAACTTTCCTTTTATTGCAAAGCTAGTGAAAGGTAGAGATAGGATCCAAATCCAGGCACGTCTGCTCCTGTGCTAAGTTCTTAACTATGCTGATCACAAAAGGAAGCCAATAACTACCTCATGTGTTGTTAGTTAAGTATTAAATGAGCAGCTCTAGCATTGTACTGGGTATCTTATGTATAATATCTTTAATCCTTACAATAACTCAAGGAGTTTTTTACTTTTATTTTACACGTGATGACACAGGGTCAGAAAGGTTAATTGTTGGTTCAACAAACAAGTCATTTATTCAGTAAAATCTGGAAGCTTCTGGCTGCTAATCCACTGAGATTTTGTTATTATTAAACAATTATGAAAGAAGAAATATTCAAGTTTATGGTTATGATTTTTTTCCCCTAAAAAAGTTTAGCTTAAAATGAAAAAGAGGGGACCAATGGATAACGTAATGGTTACGTCACTGAACTCCTATGTATTCGACCACTGCTTGAGTTCTGGACCTGGTGACTTGAAACTCACGCCAGGCAGGTGTGCATGCATGCCCAAAATCTCTAGAGGAGACTAGAGGAGAAGAGATTGCAGAGTGGTCATCGCCCCCAGGGAGTGATTTCTTACTTCTGTCTCTTACTTCCAGGGAGTGTACACACCCTGTAGCAAAAATATCTCTTTAAAAAAAAAATGGAAAAGGATTCTAGAGTATAAAATGTTCTGAAGCGGGGCCGGCAGGCGACATGGTCATTAAAGGCAATAGACTCCCATATGGCTGACTACTGTTCAAGTCCTGGACCTGGTAGCTTGCTATTTCACTTTCCCTCTCTTTCTTTCTCTCTCTGATCAAACTGGAAAATAATGATAATAATAATAATCAATGAAGTTAAATAATTCTTTTTAAAAAATGTTCTGAAGCTATAGACTTGACTTACGACTTAAAAAAGATTTTAGAAAGTTTGAAAAAGATAGTGTCAGGATCCGGCAGGTGGCATGGTAGTTAAGATGCTGGAATCCCATGTGGCTGACCACAGTTCAAGTCTCGGACCTGGCAGCTTGCTTTCTCACTTTCTTTTTTTCTCTTTCTCTAGTCAAATTAAAACAATTAATAATAAAGTTAAATGATTCTTTAAAAAAATCAAAAATAAATAAAAGATAGTGTCAGCCTTCACTCTTTGCAGTATCAATTTCAACATAATGTATCAGATATTATTATGTCTCTTATTTTCTTGTTTTAGTAGATTTAAGGTAATAAACTAATTAACAGAAATGACCTATTCGGATGAGTGGATTCTTATTAAACTAGGATCAACATGTCGAGCTGCTTTTAATTATTTTACCAATGGTTTTTCATCTTTTATAAACTTCATTCTTTTGATTTTTGCCATAGGATCTGTTCCTTACCAGACCCCACCCACCCCAGGAGTATGAGCACAATCTCTTCCCCTCAGTTCTCCTCTCAAGGTTTTTAGGCATGGACACACAAGTCGACTGTGAATTTCAAGCCTCCAGATCTGGGACTTGAACCACGGCTGACCATGCAGGAATCTAGCACCTTAACCTCTACACCACCTGCTGGCCCCTCTTATTTTTGTTAATTTTGCCAGAGGATGTATGTGCTTGTCAAAGAGAGGGGGTTGGTGGGGAGTGAGAAAGCATCCCCATCCAGAGCACACGGTCATGCTACAATCCCTTCTCCATTTCTTTTCTTGGGAATTTGGGCACATGTACACCTTGTGTGATTCTTCAACTGCCAAATCCAGGACTCAAACCTCACAAGTCAGCCATGTGGAATCCAGCCACCTCACCAACACACTATGGGCAGGGCCTTTTTTTTTTTTTTTTTTCCTTTGTGGAGACAGTGTTTACTTGGGTAAGGATACAAAGCAGGCTTTTCAAAACAAAACAGAACAAAACAAAACAAAAAAACCCACAAATTCAGTTTAGTGATCTACACACACGACATTCAAAATATATAAATTTCTTCAATGGAGAACACATGAGTTTTAGAAACTTGTTAGCTTTTCACAAATGTACTAACTCATAGCTTCTATCAAAATCTCTGTTAAGAAGATACATATTTAAGGGAGATTAAGAGACAGTTTATTTGGGACCAGCAGGTGGCATAATAGTTACAACTCCAACATAGCTATGGTTCAAATCCCAGAGTTGGCAGCTTAAAGTTCATGCTAGGCATGTGTATGTATGCCCCAAATCCCAAGAACAAAATGGAGGAGAAGGGATTGCAGCATGGCCAACCCCCCCTTGGTGGTGATTTCTCATTTTCTGTCTCTCTCTTTGGTGAGTGCATGCATATTATAGCAAAAATCTCTCTTAAAAAAAAAAACAGAGACAGGATATTTAATTACCTTTTTAAGATTAATGGCTCTTAAATTTTACTAAGCAAAATATACATTCCCCCACACACACACATGCATGCATTCACCCATCATGGGGGTTGTAATTGAAAATGTATATTTGTGAGAGTCCAGAGGCTTAATTCAGTGGGACTAAGACCTTATTTCCCACACATATCACAAACAATGCTATTGAAGATCAATCACATTTAGAGAAATACTATTAGTGTCTTTAAACTTCATTCGTTTAGTAAACCATATGACCACAGAATCTACGTATGAACTAATTATTCTAATTTCCAACAGAAGTAGCTTTACAGAATTATAATACATTTTTCTTTCCTGATTTTTGTAAAAGGTTATATGTAAAGTGATTCCACGAAGAACCATTTTACATTCTGTGAAACTTATATTGATAATAATGTCCTTTTCTGTTCAACCATCCATTTTATAATGGGCAACATATTTCTCACAATACTCAGTGACATACACCATCCCTGATTCCCCATCCCCCACCCTCTGCTATGTCCCACCTTCCCCCCGCTTTTTCCCTGGCATCCATGGTTGGGCAGGGCCTTTTAAGTTTCTTATTAGGGAGATTTTTCAAACACACAAAGGTAATAGAATAAAAAAAAACAGACCCATCTGTGACCCAACTTCAATGATTATTCATTCTTTACCAGAATGTTTTGTTTGTCCCCATCATACTGTGTTTATATATGTGTGTGTGTGTGTGTGTGTGCGTGTGTGTGCATGTATGTCCATGATCAATGGGAGGTCAGTCACACAATAACTGGTTATAGAGACGTAGAGATTTTTGCTATAGGGCATGTACACTCGCCAGAGAGACAGAAAGAAATCACCCACCAGGAGGGATGGCCACACCGCAATCCCTTTTCCTCCATTCTCCTCTCGGGATCTTGGGCACGCACGCACACGCGCCCAGCCTGAGTTTTAAGCCACCGGGTCCGGGACACGGACTGCGGTCGACTACATGGGAGTCCAGTGACATAGCCATTATGCTAACTGCTGGTCCCAGCCCAGCCTGAGTTGTAAGCTGCCAGGTCCAGGACTTCAACCATGGTTGGAAGTCCAACAATGTAACAATTACACCATCTGCTGGTCCCATGTTTATACATTTTAAACAGATGCCATACATCATTTCTCCTTTTTTTTTTTTTTTTTTTTTTTTGGTAGAGAGCTTGTGTACTTGCTAGAAAGAGTGGGAGAGCAAGAAAGCACCCACTGGGATATAGTATGGGGCATGGTCACACTGTCATAGGATGTGTGCATTCACCAGGGAGAGAAAAGGAAAGGGTAAGTGAGAAATTCCCCCCTCAAGGGTGGGATGGCCATGCCATAATCCCTTCACTCTCTTGGGATTTCAGACACACACCACATGCACTTAGCATGATTCTCAAGCGACTGAATCCAAGACTTAAACTGTGAAGCTAGCCATGTGGGATCCAGTACCTTAATCTCTATGCCAACTGCTGGCCCTCACTCATTTGTTTTTATATAACTTCAGTCTTCCATTGTGTACACATACAGTAGTTTATTTAACTAACCCCCTTACTGATGGACATTTGTATTGTTGTGATCTTTTACTGTTACAAGTAATAGTACAATTAATATTTTTTTGCATAAATTCTTTTTTTGCCAGGTATTTTGACCAACGTGATTTAGCTGATGAGCCATCTTGATGTAGCGGATCTTAGGAATAGAAGATATTTCAGATGAAAGCAGCTTAAATCTGAGGAAGCTCAATGCCAATTCAAATACAGATTGTATCACATCTTCAACACTGTGAGAGGTCTCATCTTAACCTGTGCAACTCAAGTTGATATTCAGGATATATTTTATTGATTTGAGTGTCTGAATTACCTAAGGAAAATCCCAGTTGGTTTCTGATGAACAGTGTGACCAGTTTTCTGCAATCACATGCACTTAAAACAAATTGCCATTTATTGGTAAAGCAGTCTGCATTAAAACTGTATGATGCAATTTTACAGAAGCTATTGGTGCTATTTCATTGTTTACATATATAAACATAAAATTTGATTGGAAATGTGTTTTGGTTTTTGTCTGACTCAAACAAAACAAAGCATAATGGCTGTCCTTAGTATAATTTTAAAGTAACATAGGTTAAATTGCAAATAGATTCATAGTCAACAATAAAATTAATCAAATATTTTCCTTTTAAATTAAGTGCTTTTATTTTCAGTGTTTTATTGTACAAATAAAATGTTTTCTAACAGCATTTTCAATAAGAGTCTAATAAGTTAACTAATTATTTCTGTTAAATATTTTGTTTACATCACTTATAATTTGTTTCTGTAGGAATTCAGGTAGGAAAGCTTACTTTAAGTAACAGAAGATCTAAGTAACAAGAGTTACTCAAATAGATTATTTTTCTCACATAACCGTTAAGTATAAAGAAACTGGCCCCTGGCATTGTCTTAATGATATCAAGGTCTTAAGCAATTCCTTTCACCTTTTCTGTCATGGTAACAAAGTGGCCACTGCCTTTCAAGGCATTGTGTCTGTATTCAAAATAGGAAAAGTGGGAAAGAAAGCAGAGCCTCCCATATCTGACCCTTTTCTCATAAAAACAAAAAATAACCTTTCCCAGACTTCCACATCAGGTTTGTGTTGATCTCTTGGCCATAAGATATAATCACCTTTCACTCCCAGAAGCATGGAGAGATGATATCATAAACTTTTCCAGTCTCTAGTGAGAGTTGGAGGAGGAAAAGAGTTAGGAATCACGGTGGAATAAAGCAACCAATAGTTTTGTCACTAGTTACAAATAGAGAAGGTACAATATTGTATCTTGTATTATACCAGCAGTTAGTATAATGGCTGTTGCTGGACTCCCACGCAGTCGACCGCAGTTCAAGTCCTGGACCCAGCAGCTTAAACTCACGCCGGGCATGTGTGTGTGCGTGCCCGAGATCCCGAGAGGAGAAAGGAGGAGAGGGATTGCGGCATGGCCATCCCCCCTGGGGGGTGATTTCTCACTTTCTGTCTGTCTCTCTCTGGGAGTGCATGTGCCCTATAGCAAAAACCTCTCAAAAAAAAATTATTTCTGTTGTTAAATTATAAAGCTCATTTAAATGACAGCTTAATAGTCTAGTTTTCTGTTTATTTTTTAAATTTGCCATAGGGCATATGTGCTTGCCAGAGAGAGGGAGAGAGCAACAGAAAATGGGAAAGCATTCCTCAAAGGGGATGGCCATTCCTCAATCCTATCCCCTTCGTTCTCCTCTCAGGATTCTGGTCATGCACACACAGGCACCCACTGTGAGTTTCAACCCACCAGGTCTTGAACTGCAACAGCACAGTTGGTTGGCTATATGGGATCCAGTTGCCTCGATCACCACACCTGGTTGGCCCAAGTGTCAGTTATTGTTTTAATTTACATTTCTTCCATAACTAGTGGCCGGGTATATTGTTATGCATACTAGTTACAGAAGAACAAGATTTCTGAGAACTAGATATTAGAAGGCATTTCTGCATGTGCAATAGACAAAAGTGTCTGTTGGTGTTGCTATCATAGAATACCTGAGACAGGGTGATTAAAGAAAAGTTTTATTTGGCTTGTGATTCTGGTGACTGGGAAGTCCAAGAGCATGAGGCTGGCATCTGCTTAACTCTGGTGCTACTTCACTTCATGGGTGTAAAAACAAAAAGGCTGAGTAGGAAACCTGCAGACAGTAGGCTTGTTTCATAACAACCCAATCTCATGGGAACTAATTAGGAGAACTTGCTTCCTCCCAGGAAATGGCCTTAATCTATCCATGAGGGATCTGCTCCCATGTCCCAAATTATCTCCCACTAGACCCCACCTTCCAGGCTACCGCACTGGCTATTAAGTTTCAACTTAAGTCTCAGTGGGGAGACTCAAATCATAGCAACGTATAAAAAAATTATTTTAATGCAATTGTGACTGTATTAGCAAGCTGGAGTGGTTAAATGAGAGTCCATTTTTATGGTATTTCACCTTGGCATGATGATCAGGAGCATAGAGAAAAACAGAGGTAAACTGATTTTTAAGTCTGAACCCAGTGTGGGCTTTATTTATTTACACTTTCCTATAGGGCACGTTTGCTCTCCAGAGAGAAAGAGAGACAAAGACAGAAAGGAAGTAAATCACCTCCCAGAGAGGATGCCCACCATAATCCCTTCTCCATTCTCTTCTCAGGATTTGGGCATACATACACACACACACACACACACACACACACACACACACACCCAGTGTCACAGGTCTGGGACTTAAGCCATATAGTTGGCCATGAGGGATCCAGCCTCCTTAACTTCCATGCCATCTACTGGCCTCCAGAAGTAAACATTTTGAACCACAGAAGAGTCACATTTTAAATCAAAAGGCCTCTACTTGGTGCCCCAGTTAATTTCCTCCAGCTTCCAGACTGTATCATTGTCTCCACCCAGCTCCTAGCCTAGGTCACTCTGTAATAAGAAGCGCCGGATTTGGGACTCAAACCACTGTCAACCACGTGAGAGTCCAGTGATGTAACCATTACACCCTCTGTCCCATTAGAAATATCTTTACTGTAGGGATAATTTTTTTAAAGGATTTTTGCTACAAGGTGCATGCGCTCACTAGAGAGACGAGAGAGAGAGAGAAAGTGAGAAATCACCCCAAGGGGATGGCCACACTGCAATACCTTCACTCTCCTCTCGGGATTTTGGGCATGCACTCACATGCACCCAGCCTGAGTTTTATGCCACCAGGTCCAGGACTCAAACTGGTTGACTACATGGGAGTCCGGCAATGTAACCATTATGCCATCTGCTGGTCCTAGGGTAATTATTTTGAAAGCATAAATAATACAAAAAGTAAACATCAACAATATCAGAACTACTATACAATTTACCTGTAACTTCTGTCTGTTATTATCAGAGGGCATGTGTACTTGGGAGAGACACAGAAAGTGCTCCCTACTGAGGCATGGTCATGCTGTAATCCCTTCTCCATTTCTACATCCTGTTGAGATTTAGAGCATGCATATGCATGTGGTACCAAGGCTGGGATTCCAAAGTGTAGTCAGCTATACAGTATCCGGCTCCCTTAATCACCCAGCCACAGTACTGGCCCTCCTGTCTTTTTGATACATTTATGTATTTGTTCATATCATGTACTTAAATACTGCATGCACTGTTATAACAAACTTTTCTCTTAATATACTAGTTAGCATCTTTCTATGTAAATGTGTGTACATTTACTTTTTTTTTTTTTTTTTTTTTTTTTTTTTTTTTTTTTTTTTTAGGTTTTTGCTATAGATTCATGCACTTGCAGGAGAGAGACAAAGGAAAAGTGAGAAATCACCCCCCAGGGGGGATGGCCATGCTGCAATCCCTTCTCCATTCTCCTCCTGGGATTTGAGGCACACACATGTCCCCATTGTGATTTTCAACCCACAGGGTCTAGGACTAGAACTGTGGTGGGCTATGAGGGAATCTAGAGCCCTAACCATCACACCTGCTGGCCTCTCTTCTTTTAATTTTCCAGAGTGTGTATGCTCTCACAGAAGAGAGAGAAAGCAAGCAGTCCCCTCCTCCATGGGAAAGGACCATGCCAAAATCCCTTTTCATCCCTTTCTCCCTCCTTTTGGGATTTTAGATATGAACATATATGTACTCAGCATGTTTTTCAAGCTGCCAGGTATAAGACTCAACTGCATGGTCAGCCATGTGGGATCCAATTGCCTTAAGCACTAGGTCATGGGCTGACCCTACATCGTCTTTTTTTTTTTTTAACATGTTTCTTGTCATAGGGCATGCATGTGCTCACCAGAGAGAGAAACAGAGACAGTGAGAGAAAGTGAGAAATTACCCCCCAGGGAGTTTGGCCACTCCACAATCCCTTCTCCATTCGTCTCCCAGGATCTTTGGCATGCACACACATGTGCTCGGTGTGTTTCAGGCCACCAGGTCTGGGATTCGAACCACATCAGCCATGTGGCAATCCAGCGATGGAACTGCTCTGCCATCAACTGGCCTGTATTTCATCCTTTGTAATGGCTGCACAGAATTTCCTTGCATGCCAATTTGCAATTTAATCAAGTGCTATCGATGAATACTTAACCAAATAGTAAAAATCCTTACACATACAAATTTGCACACTCATCCTTAAATCAACTATATCAAAACAAAATCACAGAATTAAAGAATTTTTTTAGAGAGATTTTTGCTATAGGGCATGTGTGCTCACTGGATAGATAGAGAGAGACAGGAAATGAGAAATCACCCACCAGAGGGAATGGCCATGCCACAATCCCTTCTCCATTCTCCTCTTGTAGTTCGGGGCACTCACACACATATGCCCAGCAGTTTTCAAACCACCAGGTCCAAGATGTGAACCATGGTCAACTGTAACCATTACATCATCTGCTGGTTCCTAAAGGATTTCTTTCTTATTTATCCAAATTTATGTATCATTTATTTTTTTGTTTTGCTATAGGGCATATGTACTTATCAGAGAGAGACAGACAGAAAAGAAAGCAAGCCACCAGGTCCAGGGCTTGAACGGTGGTCAGCCATGTGGGAGTACAGCGCTTTAACCACCATGCCACCTGGCCCCTAAACCATATATTTTAAATCTATAAGTACTCTTTTTAAATGCAAATATTGCCTTTATAATACGCACTGTAAATATTTTTCCCTATTTTAATATTTTCTTGGTACTTTTACCATGCAGGTTTTTTGTTTTATTGGTTTTTTTTTTTTGATAAAAAATATGAGGGGCAGGGGACCAGCAGTTAGCGTAATGGCTACGTCGCTGGACTCTCATGTAGTTGACCACGGTTTAAGTACTGGACCCCATGGCTTAAACTCACACCAGGCGCATGTGTATGCATGCCCAGGATCCTGAGAGGAGAATGGAGAAGGGATTTCGGCATGGCCATCCCTCCTGTGGGGTGATTTCTCACTTTCTGTCTCTTTCTTTCTGGTGGGCACACATGCCCTATAGCAAAAACCTCTCCAAAAAAAGAAAAAAAAAAAAAAAAAAAAAAAAAGAGGGGCATGGTGGTTAAAGGCACTGGATTCCAACATGGCCAACTGTGATTCAAGTCCTGGACCTGGCATCTTGCTTTCTTGCTTTCTCTTTCTCTCTGGTCAAATTTAAAGCTAGTAAGAAGGGCCTGTAGGTGGTATGGTGGTTAAAGGTGCTGGACTCTCACATGGATGACTATGGTTCAAGTCCCGGACCTGGCAGCTTGCTTTCCCACTTTCTGTCTCTCACTCTAGTCAAAGGAAAATAAAGTTAAATAATTACAAAAAAGAAAAAAGAAAGAAATAATGCTTTAAAAACATATAAGGAAATCTACCCTCTTAATTTTAAAAATTATGTGTTATAGGGTGCATAAACTTGCTGGAGAGAGACAGAGAAAAAGAGACAGAGAGAGTGAGAAAGCACCCCACAATGGGGAATGGTAATACTGCAGTCCTTTCTCTATTTCTTTTCAGAATTTTGGCCACTCATGCACACATATATACCCAACATTGTTTATTTTATTTATTGTTATTATTTATCAGAGAGTGACACAGAGAAAGAGGGAAAGTGAGAAAGCAAGCTACCAAGTTTAGGACTCAAACCACAGTCAGCCATGTGGCAGTCCAGCACCTCAACCACACCACCTGCTGGTTTCCGTTGCACATTTTTAAATCATGTTGTCTGTCACTGTTGACCTGTAGGAATTCCTTATTCATTTTAAATGTTGACCTCTTTAGATGCATGGCTTGGAAATAATTTTCTCCAACTCTTTAAGTTGCCTTTTCACTTTTTTCCTTGCTGCACAGCTTTTTAGTTTGAAGTAGTACCAATTATTATTTTGCTTTTGTTGCCTGTACTATTGGTGTCATATATAAGAGATCACTGCCAAGACTAATGTTATAAAGCTTTTCCTGTTCTAGGAATTTCATAGTTTTGAGTTTTTAAGTTTAAATCTCCAATCCATTTTAAATTGAATTCTGCAATATATATGATGTTAAAGATCCAATTTCATTCTTTTGCATGTGGATGTAGTTTTCCCAATATAATTTGTTGCAGCAATGCTATTAATTTTTTTTTACTGTTTGCCTATTTTTAGAAAGTCTTTCATCACTACAAGATCATAAAAGCAACCTCATTTTCTTTAGTACCATATGGCTCTATTGTTTTTTTATGTAACCCTTCAGGTTTGTCCCCACCTCTTCTCCAGAATTAGGAATATTCAATTATGGGGGCCAGCAGATGGCATAACAGTTACATTGCTACATTCACACATAGTTGACCACAGTTCAAGTCCTGGACCTGATTGCTTAAAAGTCATGCCAGGTGTGTGTGTGCACACACGCCCAAGATCCCAAGAGGAGAATGGAGAAGGAATTGCTCCGTGGCCAACTCCCTGGGGGTGATTTCTCCCTTTCTGTCTCTGTCTGTCAAGCTCATGCACCCAATAGCAAAAATCTTTTTTTAAATTATTTATTTTTCCTTTATTTTTATTTTTTTCATTTCATTTTCTTTTATACAGTCAATCACATTAGTATTTGTCTTACAAAATGGATATTTCTTTTTTTTTTTTGGAGAGATTTTCACTGTAGGGCGCGTGCGCTCGCCAGACAGACAGAGAGAGACATAGAGACAGAAAGCGAGAAATCACCCCCCAGGGGGGATGGTCACGCCGCAATCCCTTCTCCTCCATTCTCCTCCCAGGATCTTGGGCACGCACGCACACGCGCCCGGCGTGAGTTTTAAGCCACCGGGTCCGGGACACGAACCGTGGTCGACTACGTGGGAGTCCAGCGACATAGCCATTACGCTAACTGCTGGTTCCCTGCCTCCCTATTTTACATACTGTTTTTTAAGAGAGATTTTTGCTAGTGGGCGTGTGCACTCACCAGAGAGACAGGAAGAAAGAAGTCACCCCCCCCCCCCCCGCGGGGAAGCCCACACCCAAACCGGGCAGATGTCCACATCACAATCCTCTCTCCTCCATTCTCCTCTCGGGATTTTGTGCATGCATGCCACCTGTCTGGACGCGAAACACAGTCCGCGATGTGGAACTGCAGCAACACAATCATTACGCCATCTGCTAATCCCTCACATACTTGAATAACCTCTTCCCCGGTTTCCACTGAGAAGTTTCTTTTTGGCTATAAGCAACAAAATACACAATCAAAAGTAAATTGAACAAAATGAGGAATTTAATGTCTCACATATCGAAAAGTCCAAAGGTAAAGCAATTCCATCACTGGTTAGTTGGAAGTACAATTCAGGTGTTTTCTACCTGCATCCTGCTATCCTCAGTATGATGGCTTTCAGCTTCAAACTTGTAGTCTCATGGTCATCAGAGGGTTGTTGTGATTAGCTCCAAACATCCACCATCAAATATCTTCACTGAGAAGTAGAAAAGAGGAGGGGACAAATGCCTATCTTGTATGTAATTATTTTTTAATTAATTTATTTCCTTCATGAGTGAAAGAGACGCCAGCCACCCTCAACAAGGTTTTAAGCTATCATCTACCCCTAGTCCCAGCCAGCAATGGATCAAGAGCACTATTGTAATCAGGGAGGTCTCTGGACGCAAACTTGTAACCTTCCCATGTGGGTCAGCCTCATAAAGCATCGTATTTTACCACTGAATCACTGCTCAGCCTCTTTATATTCTTTTTTTTTTGATATAGGGCATGTGCACTTGCCAGAAAGAGACAGACAGAAAGCGAGAAATCACCCCCCAGGGGGGATGGCCACACCACAATCCCTTCTCCTCCATTCTCCTCTTGGGATCTTGGGCACGCACACACACGTGCCCAGCATGAGTTTAAGCCACATGGTCTGGGACTCAAACTGTGGTCGACTACATGGGAGTCCAGTGACATAGCCATTACGCCAAGTGCTGGTCCCTGTATTCATTTTTAAAAGAAACAAAAAACTTCCTAAAAGCCTTTAGACTTCCATTTATGTCATTAGTCAGGATTTTATAAATAAATGATCAAGATAAACCAATTACCAAGAATGACTTAAAATCCAATCAACACTCACCCTTTATGGGACTAGAGAAGCATCCTATTTTATAGCACATGCAGCCATAGAAAGTCAATACCAAAACAAAAATGGAACTCTGTGAGCAAGGGAGGGAATGGTTGATGGGTAGGCCAGTGAATATTTAACAAATCCACTGATTTGAAATATCTTTCTCACACACAGTTCTTATATACTACATGTACTGTTTTATTTTGAAGTTCTCTATTTTCTTCTATTTTGATCTAATTCCATGTCATTCATTAGCTATTCCTGGGTCATTATGACACTTTATAGTCCTAAATTTTACATTAGGTTTTCATATTTGGAAGGGTCTTTCTTTCCTGAATTTATTTTTTTCAAAACCCAAAGATGTATTTTTCTAAAAAATTTTAGAATTACCTTAATAAGTCACCTTGAGTAAAATGGTATACCTATAATTTAACTGAGTTTTCTTTATGACCTAAAATAAATTTTTATAGTTTTATAATTTCATGTTTTTATATACAATTTTTTATTCATTTTATTACAAAGAATCACTTTTCTTAAACTGCCATTGTTCCCTATCAAACAAATATATACACAAGGGTAATAATTAAATGAGAAACACAACACAAAGTAATGTTAAATGTTTGAGATGATGAATATGCCAATATCCTGATTACATTATTATACTATATTCATGTACTGAAAAATCATACTCTACTCTATAAATATGTAATTATGTGTCCATTTTAAAATACTACCAAGTAAACAGAAAGCAAGGTATATTTTAGTATCAAAGTACAGGTACCCTAATATTCAGAATGCTAACAAAAGCTAAAGATATCTGCTTATGCCAGATAATTTAAATAAGATAAAATATGTGTAAGAGGTGGTAAGAGACATATATTAGGTAGGTACAGATCCTATCCTACTGAGACGACATGGTCCAATAAATGCTGGTGTGATTCATCCAATTATCCACCTCTCTGCCCTCGTGCAAGAGAAAATAAGGGAATAAAGATAAAGATTTTAGAAATTTCACCAGTACTTCCATGTGTAAAAATTAAGACTGTACCAGGAATAAGCAGAAAAATTCCTTCCCAACATATTCAGTATTCTTTGGCCCTGGAGTCAATGAATTCCCATCTAAACTAATCTATACTTCACTTTGTGTACACTAACTGAGGTCTCAAGAACCAAAATCTATTACAGTTAAATTATATTTTTAAGCTATTTAGGCAGCCATATATATTTATATGCATGTGTGTATATACACACCTGTGCCTTATACAAGCATAAAATGCTCTCTTAATAGAAATAAATTATAAGCAAAATAAAACTTTAGTGTATTGTTTGTTTTTTAATTAAAACAAATTCATACTTTATCAAAACTTGTTCATTCTTACACAAATTATTCTGATTGGTACATATTTTTCTTTATGTTAACTCAGTAAACTCTGAATTTTCCTTCTCCATTTGTGGTTAAATAAACATCTAAGCAAATAAAAATGCTTAAAGAGTCCTACATCTTGGTGTCCAGTTACCTGTAGTCAGGTGTCTAGTTACCTGTAATCTGGTTTTCATTTTAATAGTTTCAGTAAAGCATATGTCATGGTAGAATGTATTTATCTGCTTTAAACTGGTTTGTGTTAAACTGATAAAAATACACCCTTACTCCTGTACAGATAAATGTCCAATAATGTATTAAACCACTGCAATTTGAAATACTTTATACATTAATAATTTATCTCTTTACACTGTTGACGCCTTGTATTTCAGTATGTTCTACAGCTTCTGTATCATCACCTGAAATTTGCCTAAAAAAGAAAACATAAAAATCATATTTTGATTTTAGGAACAAAGAAAACAGCCCTAAATATCAACTTTTTGGTTCTATTTAGGAAGTAATTTGAATCAACAAATTTGCTATGTCCACAACATTTCACAATATTCAATAAAATGACTTCCATTTTTGTAAAAAGAATTATTTTAACTTTATTTACATTTCTTTTAATTTGACCATAAAGGGACAGAGCGAGCAAGAGAAAGAGCAAGAGAGAGAGGGAAAGCGAGAAAGCAAGCTGCCAGGTCCAGGACTTGAACCATGGTCAGCCATGTGGGAGTTCAGCAGCCTTAACCATCATGCCACCTGCTGGCCCCAGTGACCTCCATTTTTAAAGATGATTATCTGGCTTGTGAGTAGGAAACTTTGTTTCTCTTTGTGATTCCCAATATGGATATTTCATTGTGAATTATCACTATGAATAGAAAGAAAATACACCAGGCACAGCATGTGTGCCCAAAGTTCAGACAGGAAATTAGAGGACAGAGTACTGCAGGTTGGCCATCCCCCAAGGGGGTGATTTATCACTTTCTTTCTGTGTTTCTCTTTCTCTCTGGGTGAATACACATGCCCTATACCAAACTAAAGTAAATAAACTTAAAAAAAAAAGAAAATACAGTGATGCTCAAGTTAATTTTATTCTTAGCTATTGAAAATATTTTTAGAAAAGAGTTTAGTAATAAAAGACTAGCTAGTTTTATTTAGCTTTATGTAATATATTCTACATAATTGTTTTAAAATAAAAATATTGGGGGCCAGCAAGTAGCGTGGTGGTCAAGGGCACTGGACTGCCATATGGCCGACCGTGATTTGAGTCCCAGACCTGGTAGCTTGCTTTCTCACTTTCCCTCTCTCTCTGTCCCTCTCAGGTGAAATTAAAAATAAATAAATAAATAAGGTTAAATGAAAATAATTCTTAAAAAAATATATTGTCAGTACTATAGGGAAATTTGCTACTTTTTTTTTTTTTAACAAAATTATTTATTTATGGGGCCAACAGGTGGTATGGTGGTTAAGGGCACTGGACTCGCACATGGCTGACCATAGTTTGAGTTACAGACCTGGCAGCTTGCTCACTTTTTCCTCCCCCTCTTCCCCGCTCTGTCCCTCTCTGGTCAAATTAAAAATAAATAAATACATACATACATACATACATAAAGTTAAATAAAATAATTCTCTTTTTTAAAAAAGAGAATTTGTTGTTATTATTTTTAAATAATTATTTTATTTAACTGTACTTATTTTAATCTGACCAGAGAGAGAGAGAGCAAAGTGAGAAGCCAAGCTCCCAGGTCTGGGGACTCAAACTGCTGTCAGTCATGTGGAAATACAGTGCCCTTAAGCACCACGCCACCTGCCGGCCCCAAATTTGCTATCTTAAAAAAATATACAGCAAATTACCCTTTATAAATTAAGAATTAAGAAGTAGTCACTGGTGCAGCTAAGTCATGCAGCAGGATCCCACATAGCCAACTTCAAGGGAGTCCCAAACCTAGTGGCTTGAAAACCACACAGTGTATGTGTATGTGTGTACATGCCCAAAATCCTGAGAGGAGAATGGAGAAGGAATTAACACGGCTATCTCCTCGGGGTGAGAAATTGCTTTCCCCACTTTTTCTTTCCCTCTGTCTCTCTACAGTGAGCATACATGTCACAAGCAAATTAAAAAAAAAAAAAAAGTTAATCATTCCTTAAATATCTTATAAAATTTCAATTCCTTTAGCAACCTTTTCTCTCTTTTTTTGGAGAGATTTTTCGCTATAGGGCATGTGCGCTTGCCAGACAGACAGAGAGAGACAGAGAGACAGAAAGCGAGAAATCACCCCCCAGAGGGGATGGTCACGCCGCAATCCCTTCTCCTCCATTCTCCTCTCGGGATCTTGGGCACGCATGCACACACGTCCGGCGTGAGTTTTAAGCCACCGGGTCCGGGACACGAACCGCAGCTGACTATGCGGGAGTCCAGCAACATAGCTATCATGCCAACTGCTGGTTCCCAGCAACCTTTTCTAAATCATTTTTCATTATTCATTCAAAAATCATTGAATATGACTACAGTATGCTACATATTACTGTATTGTTAAATTGATACAACTAAAAAAATAAATACATTCAGTGTATTTATTAAAAAAAAAAAAAAAAAGAAAAAACCTGAAAAAAATCACCAAAAACATTTGTAAGAAAGGTGAATTCAACTTACAGGCAGGCATTGAAGATACTTCAGCAGTTACAATACTTTTTATCCCCAAGTTTGATAAGCCTCCTCTGATTAAGCCACATGTAAATGCTAAATACTAAAAGGAAAAAAACATTTTAAACAGTAAGGATTTACTAAAATAGAAAAGCTACTGATAAATATAAAATATAGCTAAGTCATGCTATAAGGTCATTGCTGTTTAAAAACAAAAGGACTGAGAGGGACCAGGTCATGTGTTAAGGCTCTGGACACTCCCACATGGCTGACCACAGTTCGAGTCCCAGACCTGGTAGCTTGCTTTCTCACTTTCTCTCTCTCTCTCTCTGGTCAAATTAAATGAATGAATAAATAAAATTAAATAAAAACAATTCTTTAAAATAAAGAGTTGAGAAGAACTGCTCAAATTACTGAAAAATGTGATTTTTAGAAAATTTCCCAACTCTAGAAACCAATGTATAAAACACATGCCCTTAGTTCAGTCAATTCTCCAGTTTAAGACTGAATTTAGAGTAGTGACAAAAACAAATTGGAAACGGGTTAGAGTTAGTTCCTAAAGTGACAAAAGTAGCTTATGTCTACTGTCTATGCTGCCTACTGATTCTCAATAGACCCTCCCTGTGGAGTGACTATGGATCTCTTTCTGGCTGCTTTATGAGCCTTCCTATCAATTCTGTAAAGCCAACAAACAATATTTTATTCAGAGTTGATTCTGACTATGCACAACCAAGAATCATACTTGTTCAAAACTTATAGCCTGTCACAAAAAAGGACTATCCAGTATTAATACTGTGGATATTGGGGTCAGCAGGTAGTAGTTAAGGGCACTGAACTCCCAAGGTTCAAGTCCCAGACTGATGGCTTGCGTTCCCACTTTCCCTCTCTCTCTTACTCTGTCCCTCTCTGATCAAATTTTAAAAAATAAAGTTAAATAAAACTAATTGTGAAAGAAAAATACTGTGGCTATTGAGAAATGGAATCATAAAAAAAAAAAAAAAAAAAAATCGCAAAGAAAAAGAATGGGACTGAGCTACAGCACTAAAAGATATGACAAAATGGGAACTGAAAAATTAATAGCCCAAGGAATTTTTGTTCAGCTAACATTTTTAGATTGTATGATGTTCAATATAGATTATCTTTACCAGAAGCGTTTTGGATTTTGGATTATCTGCATATACATAATTATCTTGGAGATAGGACCCAAGTCTAAACATGAAATTCACTAGTATTTCATATATACCTTATATACATAGGCTGATGGTAATTTTATACACTATTTTTGTATAGCAGCACTTTTTAAAAATAATTTATTTATTTTTATTCCATTTGTTGTTATTATATTTTAATCTGACCAAAGAGAGAGACAGAGAAAGAGAAAAAGTGAGAAAGCAAGCTACCAGGACCAAGACTCAAATCATGGTTAGCTATGTGGGACTCCAGCACCTTTAACCACAATGCCACCTGTCGGCCCTATAGCAGCATTTTAACTGTGGCCTGTTATAAGAGATCAGGTATAGGCATAATGGCTATGTTGCTGGACTCCAATGTAGTCGACCATGGTTCGAGTCGCAGACCCAGTGGCTTAAATTCAGGCCAGGCGCATGTGCATTCGTGTCCAAGATCCCAAGAGGAGAATGGAGAAGGGATTGTGGTATAGCCATCTCCCCTATGGGGTGATTTCTCCCTTTTTGTCTCTCTGTCTCTCTGGTGAGCACACAAGCCCTATAGCAAAAAAAAAAAAAAAAAAAACTCTTTATGAAAAAAAAAAACAAGATCAGGTATAGAATATTCCACTGTAGTGTCTCATTGATGGTCAGAAAGTTTCAGATTTTGGAACACTTTGATTTCGGATTTTGGAATTAGGAACATTCATCCCATAATACTGTGTATCTATGAATAATATAAAGTATTAGCATTATTTTACAATTAATATGCACTTGAGTCTAGCAGGCGGCATGGTGGTTGAGGGCACTGGACTCTCACATGGTTGACAACAGTTCAAGTCCTGGACCTGGTGGCTTGCTTTCTCACTTTCCCTCTCTCTCTCTGGTCAAATTAAAATAAATAAAAGATGAATAAAATAATTCTTTTTAAAAATATATGCATTAGGGGCACTGGTAAGTAATTAGATGTGAGTCATAAAATTCTGAGTTGGAAAAGACCTTAGAGATTGTTTATCTTGAGTTCTTAATGTGGGACTCTGTGAACCCAATGAAAATAAAAATCATGTATACATGCATACTTATGGGGAAAGGTATTTCAAGATATCTGTAACCTCAAAATAGTAACAAATTAAATGAGGACCAGAAATATTAAAATAAGTTAAATATACATATTGGCCATAAAAATGTAATTAACGTCTGTATACCCCTAAAATATAAAAAATAGTTTGAATCAGTGAAATTAAATCATGAAAACAAAGTACCATGTCCATTTCTTGGCTCAGATTATTGACATGTTCTAGCTATGATAATAATAAGTATCTCCTATATGTAAAGCATCATGTTAACTACTTTATATTTAAATCTCAAGACACTCTAATAGATATGGTTACACCCATCTTATTAAACGAAGTGCAGAGGGGTTTACGTAACTTAATTCAGTGTCACAAGTCTATAAATTGTGAAGCGTAGCTTATAACTTAGATTTGGTCCCAAATCCATGATCTTTCCAGTATACTGCCTTTCTGTTTAGTTATCAACATTGTTTTTACAGATATATAGCAGTCTATTCTAGCTCAGATACCTTAATCATTTCAAAGGAATGCTTATATCAAAACTTGACAACTTCCTTTAATACTTTTATTCATTAATTGATTCCAATGTAATTAATAAACAGTAAAAAAAAATAAAAAACCTCAGAAATACAAATATATTTGACACAAAACATGTATTAAAAGTTTGTATTCTGGGACCAGCAGTTAGCATAATGGCTATGTCGCTGGACTCCCATGCAGTCGACCGCGGTTGGCGTCCCGGACCCAATGGCTTAAAACTCATGCTGGGCGCGTGTGCGTGCGTGCCCAAGATCCCAAGAGCAGAACAGAAGAGAAGGGACTGCGGCGTGGCCATCCACCCAGGGGGTGATTTCTCGCTTTCTATCTCTCTGTCTCTGTCTGGCGAGCGCACGCGCCCTATAGCAAAAAGCTCTCCAAAAAAAAAAAAAAAAAAAGTTTGTATTCTGGGACTAGCAGCTGTACTAATGGTTACGTCACTAGACTCCCATGTAGGTAGTTGACTGCAATTTGAGTACTGGACTTCGTGGTTTAAAAGTCAAGCTGGGGGGGCCAGCAGGTGGCATGGTGTTTAAGGGTGCTGGACTCCCAAATGGCTAACTGCAGTTCAAGTCCTGGGACTAGCGGCTTGCTTTTTCACTTTCTCTCTCTGTCCCTGTCTGGTCAAATTAAAATACTTTAAGAAATAAATAAAGGTAAATAAGAAAGTAATTCTTAAGGCACCAGCAGTTAGCGCAATGGCTATATCACTGGACTCTCATGTAGTTGACCACAGTTCACGTTCTGGACCCGGCGGCTTAAAACTCACGCCAGGCGCACGTGCATGTATCCCCAAGATCCCAAGAGTAGAATGGAGGAGAAGGGATTGCGGCATGGCCATCCCCCCTGGGGGGTGATTTCTCGCTTTCTGTCTCTCTGTCTCTGTCTTTCTGGTGAGTGCACGCGCCCTATAGCAAAAACCTCTCCAAAGCAAACAACAACAACAAAAAAAAAACAGGGACCTGCAGTTGGCATAGTGGCTATGTTGCTGGACTCCCATTAAGTCAACTGTGGTTTGAGTCCCGGACCCGGTGGCTTAAACTCACTCTGGGCGTTGTGTGCCTGCATGCCTAAGACCAAGAGGAGGAGAGGGGATTGTGGAGAGGCTACCCCCCCCAGGGCGTGATTTCTCACTTTCTGTCTTTCTGGCAAGCCCACACACACCCTATACCAAAAACTTCTCCAAAACAACAAAAAAAACCAAAAATCCCCAAGCTGGGCATTGTGTGCATATGTGCCTAAGGTACCGAGAGGAGAATGGAGAAGAAATTGCAGCATGACCATACCCCTGGAGAGTGATTTCTTTCTGTCTCTCTTCCTTTCTCTCTCTAGGGCGAGCACACATGCCCCAAAGCAAAGTATCTCTTAAAAAAAAAAAAAGTTTGGGGACCAGAAGTTGGCTTAATGGCTATGTCACTGAACTCCAATATATCTGACCACGGTTCAAGTTCCAGACCCGGTGGCTAAAACTCGTGCCAGGTGCGTGTGCATGCATGCCCAAGATCCCAAGAGGAGGATGGAGGAGAAGGGATTGGCCACCCCCTTGGGGGGTGATTTCTCGCTTTCTGTCTGTCTGTCTGTCTCTCTCTCTCTCTCTCTCTCTGTCTGTCTTTCTGGCAAGTGTACGTGCCCTATAGCTAAAACTTCTCAAAAAAAAGTTTGTATTCTTAGCAACAAATGTTAATTATATCAACAATTTAAAAAATCTACTAGAAGAGACCATACATACAAATTCTGGGTGAATAATTTTGTATTGTTCATATCAAATTTATAAATTTGAGTATCTTTATTCACATATCTATGCTATATTTGACAACTAATCTATCTTAAATATACTTTTTTACTGGTATTTAGCTGTGGTGCTTCTTTGATTGACTTCCAAAACCCATTCAGCTAGAGTATAGCATTAAGTCAATGTAACATGATGAACATGTCTATTTCATATTGGGTTGTCAGAAGAGTCATGATGTATTTTTTCTGTTTTTCTATGCAAGAATGCATCATGACTTTTCTGACAACCCAACAGAAAACTAAAGAAACAAAAAAGAACTTTAAAACCTACTTTTGGGGAACCGGCAGTTAGCGTAATGGCTATGTCGCTGGACTCCCACGTAGTCGACCGCGGTTCGTGTCCCGGACACGGTGGCTTAAAACTCACGCCAGGCGCGTGTGCGTGTGTGCCCAAGATCCCGAGGGGAGAATGGAGGAGAAGGGATTGCGGCGTGACCATCCCCCCT